CGTGAGATCACTGGAAGATTATACAATAATTAGGCCCTAGGTGCCAATAATTAGGCACCTTTACTGAGTTGTCCTTTAAGTCTTATGTTCTTGGTTTTTATGGAAAGTCACTAAAAAAGAAAAAAACATTTGAAATCTGCTTAATATTTGTTGTGAAGTTTAGTGCCTTTATCCATTTTCTTCTAGAGTTAATACCTGGACATTTTTTGTTTTCCTCATTACTTGGTATGCGTCCTCCTTTCTGACCATGATATCTGTGTAATTGAATGTTTCTCTCTCTGCCCAGGCCCCTTGAAAATTCAGATCCACATTTGATGCTCAGCTCTAGTATCACTACTGATCTTTTCAAACAGATATCTGTTTTTTCCTTGTCCTTGATTTTCTGTTTTTAAAAATTAATTTTTGTGTATTTTGTCCTTTGGGAATGTACAAATGATATATCTCAGATACTTACTGGAAAGAGGAAGTAAAATTTTTAAAAATAAAGATTTATTTTATGTTCCTCCCTGCAACTAGGGGGATAAAATAGATCCTCAAGAACAATACTTTCAGCCTAATATACACATTATAAAATTTATTACATTTTGATTTGAGGACTAGTCTGTACATAGATTTTTCAAAAGTTGGAAACTTAGTTCTGATATTAGAATGTGTTTGCCAGTTTCATCTTGTAACAAAGAATTTCCGCTTCACTTTTTCTTATATTGAAGTTATAAGAAGATTGCGTATACATAAAAGCTTTAATCTTGTCCCATAAAAAAGTGTCTGGCTTTTAACTCCAAAGTTGATGGTAGTTTGGTCCTTTAGATTCTAAACTAAACTGTAGAAAAAGACACAACTGGGCATAAATTAATAGTGACTCAGGGCAGTCCTCAGGATAGAGGTAATAGAATTGACGGTTTCTGGGAAAACTAGTTAGTCCAGCTTTACAGATTACTCAGCTTCATGTGATACTGTTTTAGAAAACCAAATTAAAGACATTCTTTCTGTTGTCAGAGCTTCTAGGCCAGTTAAAAGGAGAAAAAATCCTAAAAACCAAAATAAGATTGAGTGAAGAATAATGCAGCATATTTTGAATAATGTCTCATTCTGTACCAGTGGGGAATGAACTGTCTCATTAGACAATGGAAGTTAGTTGTATATCTTAAGTATTTTAGCCAGGCTTTTCTTTTAATTTTTTTTTATTGCACAGAAACATAAGTGAATGGAAAAACGCCCATCTTACCAGTGTAGCATCAATAGCATCAATAGTTTGACATATTCCATGCTTCCTTCCAGTCTTCATGGATTCAGGATTCATAGTTTAAAACAGTTTAGAGTAGTTCCTGCTGCCTCCAGTCATCCTTGGTAACAATGAGAATCTCACAGGTTTGAATATGTTTACTCATGCAGACAGTTGCAAATACTTCTGTGTGTCTACTGAGTAGACACGTGATGCCACCTTTGTTCTAATACCAGCAGAGTATATCATTCTTTATTAAGAACAAAGTCCAGGCGCAGTGGCTCACATCTGTAATCCCAGCACTTTGGGAGGCTCAGGCAAGCAGATCACGAGGTCAAGAGATCAAGACCATGCTGGCCAACATGGTGAAACCCTGTCTCTACTAAAAATACAAAAATTAGCTGGGTGTGGTGGTGCATACCTGTAGTCCCAGCTACTCAGGGGGCTGAGGCAGGAGAATCGCTTGAACCCAGGAGGTGGAGGTTGCAGTGAGCCAAGATCGCGCCACCGCACTCCAGCCTGGCGACAGAGCGAGACTCCATCTCAAAAACAAAAACATTAAAAGCCAAACAAGGTATCATTTAGTGATACATATTGATTATACCTAATTAGTGACAAGAAACTCCCTCTAAACATTTATGTGTGAAGCTGCTTAAGGACTGAATATTGCCTGTTGTCATTAATAGGTTGGATGACTTCATTTAGGGCCTCCAAATGGTCTAGATGTCATATATCAGAGGTGTTCAAACTTCCTTTCCATCACAGAATGACCAGGAGAGTATTTAAAATGCATACTCCTGAGCCTCACACTTTGTAGAGTTGGCAACCTAAGTGGTTATTTTGCAGCTTGTCAGCCAAATTTGCACATTTTATATATTTTTTGACAATCCATAAAGATAAAGCTAAATACCTTAGAAATAATACTGTTAGAGTCATGTAAGATGAGTATATCTTTTAAAGGTAAGCAGAGACACTGGGGGAAAAATGAGATAAAGGAATGACAGGATTGCCCAATATAAACAGAGAGGAGGGCTGTGTTGTGTGGGGAGGTGTAGAGGTGAGGACACATTTAATAGTGGATCTAAAGAATACTGTAATTGTAATAGTTGTCAGATTATTGTGAGGCTTATCTTTCTAGGCATGCTGATGTTCTTCAAGTAGAGGTCACAAACTCAGTGCCTATAGGGCCCAGACAGGTAATGCAAATATGAGTTGTTGAGGAATGTTGCAACAGGAGACCCTGAGGCCACTACTGGAGAGCCATTTCTAACCACTCACAGCCTATTGTTGCCAAACCAAGTCCAGTATTTCTAGATCTTTCAGTTTTTAAGAGAAGCTAGAATTCTGGATTTTATATGAAAACTCTAGATTTTTAGGTGCTGACTTAATTTATTAAAGGCACTAAAAAATGAACACTCATCTCTGGGTTGGACTTGATCCACCTGTGATCAAGTTGCAATCTTTGTTGTAGAGCTGTGCTTCTCCAGGTGTGGTCCCGGGCATAGCAGCATCAATAACACCTGAGACCTTAATAGAAATGCAAAGTCCTAGGCCTTATCTCGGACCTGCCGAAAGCCCAGTGCCAGGGGTGAGACTCAGTCATCTGTGTTTTAACAAGCCCTCTGGGTGATTCTGATGCATGCTCAGGTTTGAGAACCCCTGTTTTGGAGCATGGAAGTTGACACTACAGTTTCTATGTGGGGTAGTAGTAAAGTTCATCAAATATCCTGTAAATATCAAAAATATATCAGCTGTATTTTGTTTTCAGGTATATGTAACTTCATCTTTTTTCCCAGAATCTCAGAAAACACAATAATTGTGTTTTCTCCCTTTTCTTTCTTGTTAAGAATATTGCAAATTAACTTAATAGCAATTCTGGTCACATTTTGACCTCATTGGAACACATCTTAGATTTTATTGATTGATTGATTAAAACTAGGTAAATAAGTTATGTGGCTTTACGAAGCTTCAGTGTTAAGTCTCCTTTAAAAGTATTAAATATAATATTCAGTAAGTCCTCACTTAATGTTGTTGATAGGTTCTCGGAAACTGACTTTTAGCCATATGATTTGTAATGAAACATATTTACTCTAGGCTAATTGATATAAACAAAAATTAAGTTCCTGTGGCATATTTCTGGTCACAAAACATCCCAAACTTCTAAATAAAGACCAAAACACTTCTAATGATAAACACTGAAATTAATGTGAGCTCTCCACACATTTAAGAAAGATTAATATAAACAAGATTATTATTCACCCACTGATTCCAGTTCAGGGTCGTGGGTGGCCAGAGCCTCTCCCAGCAACTCAGGGTACCAGGCGGGGACCCCACCCTGGACAGGACCCCTTCCCATCACAGGTTGCACTCACGCTTGCTCAGGCTGGGACCATATGGATGCACCACTGAACCTAAAGTGCACTCATCTTTGGGATGTGGGAGGAAACAGGAGTACACAGAGAAAACCCAAACAGACCTGGGGAGAACATGCCAACGTCACACAGATGGGCTTAGGCTGGGAAAGGATTATTTTTTTCTCATCATTGTTATAACAAAATGACATTGAACAAAACGACATTATTCAAAGACCTACTGTATATTAAAAATAAGGAACACATCACATTTTTCTAAATTGAGTTCTGTTTGCTGGAATTAGAACTACCATTTCTACTTACCTATTTTTATATAAAAGAGGTTAATTTATGTGGTTTTATGTAAGTCTGGCCTCCTAATTGCTGATCAGGTTGTTTATATTTTAATGCCCAAGTATGCCAATATTTCCCTCCATTCTCAGAATGTAGAAATGGTTGCTATCCTGATTGTTATCCTTAAAGTTCTTGGCCAGGTGTGGTGGCTCACACCTGTAATCCCAGCACTTTGGGAGTCTGAGGACTGCAGATTGTTTGAGTCCAGGAGTTTGAGATCAGCCTGGCAATGTAGGGAGACCCCATCTCTACAAAAAAAAATACAAAAACAGCCTGGTGTGCGGTGGCACGTGCCTATAGTCCCATCTACTCGGGAGGCTGAGGTGGGAGGATTGCTTGAGCCCAAGAAGTCGAGGCTGCCGTGAGCCATGATCATGCCACTGGGCGCCAGTCTGGGCAACAGAGTGAGACGCTGTCCCTAAACAAACAAACAAAACCCCAAGTTCTTTTTTTTTTTTTTTTTTTTGTATAAACCAACCTTAAACATATTTGTTCATTTAAAGTCACTAGTACCTTGCTAATCAGATACGAAATTTATGGAGAGAATTTTCTTACACTTAAAAGTATACAAAAAGCTAGCCAGGCGCGGTGGCTCATGCCTGTAATCCCAGTGCTTTGGGAGGCCGAGGCGGGCAGATCACGAGGTCAGGAGATCAAGACCATCTGGCTGACACGGTGAAACCCCGTCTCTACTAAAAATACAAAAAATTAGCTGGGCGTGGTGGCGGGCGCCTGTACTTCCAGCTACTCGGGAGGCTGAGGCAGGAGAATGGTGTAAGTAAACCCGGGAGGTGGAGCTCGCAGTGAGCCGCACTCCAGCATGAGCGACAGAGCGAGATTCCGTCTCAAAAGAAAAAAAAAAAAAGTATACAAAAAGTTTTTCATTTATTTTGAGGAAACTTCGTGCATGTGTGACGTATTAGGTGCTTCAAATGTACTTTAGAGTATTTAAAATGCTGCGATAGACTGAGAAGTTTGGAATAATTTGATTTAAAGTAATAGATATTGAATTTGTAAGAAGTCATCTGCTTGTGTTTATATAATTTTAAATAAAAATAAATTTATGTTCACAGGGTAAACCGGACTTGAATACAACATTGCCAATTAGACAAACAGCATCAATTTTCAAACAACCGGTAACCAAAGTCACAAATCATCCTAGTAATAAAGTGAAATCAGACCCTCAACGAATGAATGAACAGCCACGTCAGGTAAGGATCTAATTCTTTCTCCAATCTTATTTTTCAGAAAAATGCTGGTATTTTTACCAGACATAATTCAAATAAATTCTGGCTAAAATGGAGTGTATTTGGAAAGAAAATTGTTTTATGTCCTAGGCTATTACATGAATGCTGGAGTATGCAAAATTTAGGTAAAATATTTTTAAGAAAATATTTAATAAGTCAATTAAGAATGAATCTAATTCATAATATGGACTAAATTTTTATGCTTTTCGTGTGGTAATATACATCAGACTTGGTTCTGCTAATCTTAGTTTTTTAAAGATTATCTTTCCAAGGATAATATTTCATAGAAGAATGAAGCATGTAGTTCGTGTTGCTTAGTTTAAAAATATTTTCTATTATTTGGAAGCTAAGACTACTTTTTATTCTGATTTCTTATTTTGTGAAATCTGTCCCACCCCTTTTGAAAAACAGAATTAGATAAACTTTGTCAATCTGGTATATTGTCCTGTGACTTCCATTTTTGTACAAATTCAATTTATTTTTCTCTTTCTTTATTGCTTCAAGCTGTATTCCACTAGAATCTTTTCTTAGAAAAAAAGCATTACCTGAAAGGCCTCCCTGCAGCCTATTAATGCCATATAGCCCGGGGAGGGAGACTGGACAAAATGCTTAAACCTTCCACGTAACCTTGCTTATTCACTCCCTAAATGTGGTCAAAAAGCCTAGGTAGTTCATGAATTTTTAGTAGCAATTGGGGTGAGGGAGTGGAGGGAGAAACATCTGTGCGTTTTTTTCTCTCCTTTCTCTGCCTCCTCCCACCTGAGTCCAGCTAAGGATTAGAAACACTGATTTACCTACGACGGTTATCTTTTGCTCTCGTATTCCCCTTTTAGATGTCTCACTCCACCTTTTCATTTGAATTTTGTTTTTCACTAGTCCTTCAAGTGTCTCATCTCCAGACTTCATAAAGGATTGGGCCAAAACTTTCAGACAGTTGCTCTAGAAGAAACTACATAAAGAAATTCAGTTCCCACATCCTCTGTAGTGTTTTTTCCTCTTCAGGTGAGCCAGGAAAACAGAAGATATTTGGAGCCACATTGGATCAGCATCTTGCTATAGATGTCTCAAGATTTGAAGTTCTAAACTTGCTTTACTGTTGGTCCCCAAGAGATTCAACAGGGGCCATGTAAGTGTATCACATCCAACATAAAAGATGCGTACCTGCATGTGCCTTTAGCCTCTTGTCACCACTTAGGTTTTCTTTGGGCCATTCAGCTTTCTGTGTGAGGCTTTTCCCTTCTGTTTTACTACCACACCCAGTGATAGTCACAAAACCACAGGAAGTTGCAGTATATTCATTACAACAGGGAAGGAATTCTGGCATTCTGAACTTTGTCCACCTTGATAAAGCCGTTCCCTGGTTGTATTCTTTCTCAGATACTATCTAAAGTCTTGAACATCTTGTCCTTTGACTTTTTGGTGATTTAAAAATCATTTCCCCACAAAGATATTTGTTAATGGAAAATTTTGAAAGTATGTAATTGGGTAAAACAGATTTGCTTCAAAAATTCTGAAAGATTTAAGAAGGTGGAATGTAGTCTTTAATTAATAATATCATTCCACATTGAAAATTTGAGTTCTTTATGAGATCAGATAGTATTTAATAGATTTGATCCTCATCTTTTCTTTGCCAAATCATTCTCAATATAGTCTATAAACCCAAATATTTTATTTAAAGATCAACTGATTAGCAAATTCTGTCCATTTTAACAGTAATTTAATTATTTTCTGCACCTAAATTCAGTCACAGTTTTAAAAAACTCTGGTAATTTTTTACTGGGTGTTTATCTGGCTATAGAGATACTGGTAACTTACAGTTTTAAAGTTGAAATAACCAGACTAGTTGCTCCTTGTTCTTTGGTATGTTGAATAGTTTTAAGTTTTCCTTCTTTTATTATGGTGTATGAGATTATTCTCAAATGAAAGGTATGTGTCCAAAAACCTAAGTTCCATCTCCTCCATCTCTCCCCAAAAAACTTATGTCATTTCAACCCAGATCTTTTGAGGGTTTAATCTTCCTTTTAGCTTGCATAGACAGGAAGTGTTTAAAATTATTTAGCAGGCCACTTCTCCAAAAGCTTTGGCTGTTTTTTACTTTATCCTTATGGTACCTGACAATTTTTGCTGGATGCTTTTGATTGTGCTAAGACATTAGTTGATTTTCCTCTTTCTTTATCTTCAGTGTAAGAAGTGAGGTAATATTTGACCACTGTCTCACCAATAGGACTGTGCACTGGGCAGAATATGGGAAAATAGTAAAAAGACAATTTTCATGTTAATGTTTTAAAAATCATGATCTGTTATCCCAAGTTTTCCAGTTTAGATTCAGTTTGTTAGTAAAGGAAAGATGTTAGTTTTAATTCTATTTTGATATACATATGGCAGATGACTGCTAATCAGCTATTGTAATTGAGGAGATCGTTGGCACAATATACATAGGCAAAAATGATTCTTCCAATTTTGCTACCCATTTCTTAGATTCATTGAATTCGGTTGGTAATATAAATTGCCAAATATTCCAATTGGAGGAGTTATTTTTATCATAGAGTAAACGAATTAGACAATGAGGTTTCTATTTTTGAGGTTTCCATAGAAATAAATGTTTTTATTCTTTATATCACATTCTTTTAATAAGATGTTCAAGATAATGATATTGTAATTCCTTTTAAAGTGTTGAATTTTGAAGCCTATAACTAGGATTAGGCTTCTGAATATTAACTAGGCTTTACTGTGAAAAGATCTGAAATGTTTAATTTAGACGAGAAGCAATCATTAAAAATAATAATTCTGTCTTTTATAACCAACATCCTATGCCCAGGTCATTTATATGGCAGCCTAATTTGAATTCTATAAAATGTATAAATTATGAAATTTTAATGTATTGATTCCTTGAAAATGCCTTAACTTTAAAAGTGCAAATTAGGGTATGTAAAGAAAAGCATTAAACAGAATTCAGTGATTTCTATAATTAAAATTATAAGGTAGTGATGGAATTTGTAAAACCTGGTTATAATAGGGTAGTAGCCAGCCATCTTTGTATATAGCATCAGTGTATTTGATGATTGCTTGTCTTTTCTTTAGATTAAAAAGACCCCTGTAGTGGGGAGGAGGGAACTCTGCCAATTACCAGACTATTATCCCAAACAGTAATCACTGAAATATCATTATTCAGCTAGATGCATGAAACACATCTCAAGATCTTTTTAGTGTAATTGAGTTGTAATTTTTTGCTGGTAACAATGCCTTTCCTAGTTTACCCCCTTTATAATATGAAGAACTACCATTTCTGTTTCTTATTTCTTTACTGCTGTCATCTTTGATACTATCTGGTCTCTTGATTCCTTCTTTTTCTCTTTTAGCGTCAAACCAAAGAAGCTTCATCTTTGAACTATTACTTCTTCCTTTTAATTATTAGATTATAGAGGGATAAAAGGCTTTTGTGTTTTTGACAGTCTTTGAATATTAATTACATTTCTTACAGAATATTCACTTTTTTGTAGGAGCAATTGTTTAACAGTAAAGAAGCAGATTTGAATCTTCCACTTGATCTTAGATATTTTTTTCCTTTTATTTCATTTTGCCAATTCTCCTTGCAAGGATATGAAACTTTCCTTTACCTACTTCTCTAGAAGCCAACCTTTTCTTTTAGAAGGAATGTTTTAAAATGTATTAGAAGAAACTTTCCTGGTTGAAGATAAATTTTGTAAATGTGCCGTTTAAAGTCACTGTGTATGAAAAGTGTATGAAATAGTTCAACTTTCAGCTGCTAAAACCCAGAGGGTTACTATTTCAGGCATTCTAGCAACATTTTCTTGTTTCTAATCTCTAACAGTTATTTCTAGTATAGTCTCATTATAATGTTCTTAATGATTGACAAATAGATAAGCTAAAGCACAGAGTCTCATGGTGGATATATTCCTTTGCTCTGGACAGAAAAATTGACTGCCTCGGCAGAGAAAATAGAGGATGTGTCCTATAACACTTAAAAATATTACTCTGGGTACTGTTGGGAAGATGCCATATACAAAGTGCCAAAGGAATAGTAGAGTAGTACAGGCAAGTGCTATAGGTGTTTAAGAAAAGTGAGGTTACTGTTGCTAGGAGGCTTGAGAAAATCTTTAGAAAAGGCATGACACATATGCTGGACATATTTTTAAAATGTAAAAAATATTGTGTAACAATATTTTATAATGTTTCCTTGGGCTAGATTCCCAGAAATGTAATTAGTGTGAATATTTACATTTTTGATACATACCAGCAAATTGATTCCAAAGGGTTGTACCAAATTAAAAGACTATCAAGAAGTTATATACTTTCCAGTTTCAGCCTACCTTCTGTAGCAGCAGTCCCCAACCTTTTTGGCACCAGGGACTGGTTTTGTGGAAGACAATTTTTCCATGGACCAGGTGAAGGGGTGGGGGGTGGTTTGGGGATGAAACCATTCCACTTCAGATCATTGGGCGTTAGATTTTTATAAGGAGCATGCAACCTAGATCCTTCACATGCACAGATCACAATAGGGTTCGTGCCCCATGAGAATTTAATGCTGCCTCTGGGCAGGAGGTGGAGCCCAGGCGGTAATGCTTACCTCCTGCTGTGCTGCCCAGCTCCTAACAGGCCACGGACTGCTACCTGTCTGTGGCCTGGGGGTTGAGGACTCTTTTCCTATAGCTTTGACTATTATTAGTTCTTTTTTTTTTTTTTTTTTTTGTGGGGCGGGGTGGGGGGAGTAATTCAGTAATTTAAAAGGGCATTTTATTTTAAATTTAGAGGCATTTGTGTTAAATTTTAAACATAAGAAACGTTTAGAGCTTTTTAAACTAGGGAGTAGCTTTTATATTACCCATCTGAACTGAACTTAAAGGTATCTCCTGGTGGCCTAAAGCTAATTCCAACATGTGTACTCTGCAGATACACTTCCTCCTTCCTTCTCAGAGACCCCATCCAATGGAATATGTCACTTA